AAAAAAAAAACACTAATCCATCCCACTCACCCCAGCATTCACTTTAATCTTCCAATCTCCAAGAACAGGTAAACTTGTCAGTTGAAGGGATTTGGTCAGAACTCCTGAAAGTTCAACATAAAGAATGGAGATAAAAGAACTGAAGTTAATCAAATGTTAAAAAGTCCTGTTTAACTATAAGCAATATAAATCTGATGCAGTGACAATGAATTTGATTAACTGTGTCTCATAAGCCAAATATGGCTGGGTATTCTTTTTATTAGTAGTTTATTGTATACTGGTTTTTTGAATTTATGTTTTAAGAAAATGCAACACTTTAAAAAATAAATACATAAATAAATATAAATATTAAAATCCTCACCCATGGCACTGTCATTCCTCTGGTCAACATACTGTCTGATCTTGTTGCCTTTGGGATCCTACAATGACATTTTATAAAATATTTCAACAATCTTCAACTCAAATAGAATCTTATCGATAATGTGCAATAATCATAGTCACAGTAACTGTATTATTCAGATTGTGATAAGTTACTTTTATTACAAAAACCAAGTTAACATGAGCAAAAAGTCCAACGCATGATTTATTCGGGTGTAACTTCTAATAATGGTATGAACAGTATTCAGAGTAAAGTCCCTGTATCAATACCTTTTAAGAAACTATGAGGAGCTGTTACAGTAATTAACTAGAGCTATCACCAAATATGGTGAATGACACTGCTTCCCTTTCCTTGTAGCCTTGCCAAAAAGGAAAAATTAACCCCATTTCTAGATTGTGATTCTTTAAGTCTACAACATTATTATCATAGCACCTTCGGCAAACTTTATAAAAAATCATAACACTTAGCCACAAAATACTCACAAAAACGTCAATGTTAATGGGTCCCATATATGGCAAAAGATCTGGCTTCACCGCAAATACACGGTAGTTGACTGAAATTACATATGGAGGAACATTTGTCTACTGTTACTGTACAGTAAATTAATCAAACATTACACTTTCTCAATTCTTTAGACAGCTGTACAAAGAGGTTTTTTAATGACCAGAAAGTTTTTTACCCAATTGATCCAAATTATGAGACTTGCAAGTTGTTCATTTCTGAATATCTTGAGAGAGAACAGCAAGTAGTTATTTACATCCAATGACAAAATCCGTAAAAAAATCAGCTCTTTTGAAAATAAAACTAGAGCACTTTTTTGTACCCAGAAAGGACTAGCCTTAAGGCCACATTCACAACAGCGGAATAACTAGTCTATTGATTAAATATGGCAGTTCCACTTGAATGCTTGTTACACAATACCCATGGAGAATCTATCCTGTGCCCTATTGCGGGATTAGATGGCAATGTTTTAAGTGGGTAGACATAATTGACCCATGGACTAGTAAGTGTGCTGTTTCAAATGTAGCCTAAAATAGCATGGTTGTGAACTTTACCATGATAGAACTTAAACAGCCACCTGACGCGCTTTCTTACCCAGTTGCCCAGGCTTGTACATTGCTTTATCTGTCTGAATAAATACAGACATGGTCTTTTGATGCATGTTCACCGAGGAGGAGTTTTTAATGGAGTCCAGCTGCACTTTCAGACTAAATTTACTTCTTGTAGCATCTGAAGGAATCTATGAGGTTCAAAAAATGGTTATTGTAAGGTAATAATACTCATTTTAAAGATAAAAATCATCTTTTTTTTTTTCAATTTAATTTAATATTATTCTCTTTTTAAAATCTCTGAAAACTTCAACTTGAAAAAGTGCATGGCCAACATAATTTTCTAAAATGCAATTCATTTAATAAGGTCTCATGACAAAAAGAATGTTATTTACTCTAAATAAGTATATTTTATATTTCTTTACAAAATATCTTCTCGNCTGCACAAGAATCAGCGATAAAAGTGGCTGAGAGAAGGCTTTTGAATAAATATCTTATTTTTACACACATGACTCTAAGACCCTATTTGCTTTTTACCTGCTAGTCTTGACTATTCTCGGGGTCTTTTTGTGATTTTCATTTTTGGATACATTTTGAACTCTTTCTTCCCGCTTGATCAGTGATTTTGAAATTACAATTTTTCGCGTGTCTCTCAAGCTCCATGATATCATATCTTGTAGAATAAAATTTTATTTTGTCAACATTACATTTACCTTTTGCAAACGGCGACCAACAATCATTTCCGGTTTCGTAACGTGTCGCAGATACGCTCGCCGATATATATTGCAAAAATTAGCTAGGCTAAAAGTATCCTTTTTAGCGTTTTTTTTATTTATCGATTTTTCTTTCATTTGTCAATTAATTTAGACAATTCGATTAACTCTTTTGCCCATTTATTAGGTATTCAGAAATCAGTCATCCATCTGAACAAATAGGACCGGTTTTCCCCAACCGCCACGCATAGGCCCTACTCTCTTTCAAAATTTTCTTTCTTTCCTCAGGAAATGGACTTTTAACACGAACTTTTCTCTTCCCCATAGTGTACTAGCTAGACTTCTTCGCTGCTAAGCTGATGTAAGACTTATGACCTATTACCGCACACGTAATCGGCTTATAACTCATTAACTGTGCTCCGAACCCCTCATGGCAACGGCCCTTAGTAACAGAGGCGTGGCTTAGTTGTCAGCCTGACTGGGGCGCGTGTCGGTTGAAAAACTCATCAAAAGACACATTTTGCGATGCAAATTCATAAAAATTATTACATCCAACGTTAGATACTTTTTTAATTAATATAAACACACAAAAAACTCAAAAACATGATTTTAAGCGTATTTAACCCTATCACCGGCCTTAAGTAACTATGAGGAGCTGTTACAGTAATTAACTAGAGCTATCACCAAATATGGTGAATGACACTGCTTCCCTTTCCTCATAGCCTTACCAGAAGAGAGTTCAAGAGGAACCAGAATGATGGAAAATAGCTTCAATGTCAACAACTCATCCTTTCCTTTGCTAATGAGCGACTGCTTTAAATTTCCAAATGGTTCTGATTTTTAAATTAAAAAAGGAAAAATTAACCCCATTTCTAGATTGTGATTCTTTAAGTCTACAACATTATTATTATAGCACCTTCGGCAAACTTTATAAAAAATCATAACACTTAGCCACAAAATACTCACAAAAACGTCAATGTTAATGGGTCCCATATATGGCAAAAGATCTGGCTTCACCGCAAATACACGGTAGTTGACTGAAATTACATACGGAGGAACATTTGTCTACTGTTACTGTACAGTAAATTAATCAAACATTACGCTTTCTCAATTCTTTAGACAGCTGTATACAGAGGTTTTTTAATGACCAAAAAGTTTTTTACCCAATTGGTCCAAATTATGAGACTTGCAAGTTGTTCATTTCTGAATATCTTGAGAGAGAGAACAGCCTTGAGTTATTAACATCCAATGATGATATCTGTACAAAAATCAGCTTTTTTGAAAATAAAACTAGAACACATTCACGACAGCAGAATAACTAGTCTATTGATTAAATATGGCAGTTCCACTTGAATGCTTGTTACACAATACTCATGGAGAATCTATCCTGTGCCTATTGCGGGATTAGATGGCAATCTTTTAAGTGGGTAGGCATATTTGACCCATGGACTAGTAAGTGTGCTGTTTCGAATGTAGCCTAAAATAGCATGGTTATGAACTTTACCATGATAGAACTTAAACAGCCACCTGATGCGCTTTCTTACCCAGTTGCCCAGGCTTGTACATTGCTTTATCTGTCTGAATAAATACAGACATGGTCTTTTGATGCATGTTCACCGAGGACGAGTTTTTAATGGAGTCCAGCTGCACTTTCAGACTAAATTTACTTCTTGTAGCATCTGAAGGAATCTATGAGGTTCAAAAAATGGTTATTGTAAGGTATAAATACTCATTTTAAAGATAAAAATCATCTATTTTTTAAAATTTAATTTAATATTATTCTCTTTTTAAAATCTCTGAAAACTTCAACTTGAAAAAGTGCATGGCCATCATTATTTTATAAAATGCAATTCATTTAATAAGGTCTCATGACAAAAAGAATGTTATTTACTCTAAATAAGTATATTTTATATTTCTTTACAAAATATCTTCTCGTTTGTGGATGACTATTTCAAGATAAGTAATCTAGTCTGCTGAATGCTTCCAACTGCCTACCTGCAAGGACACTAAAGATGGCACCCCTGCAAGTAAAAAAAAAAGATCTCACATGAAATAATGATGTCTAAGAAATCCGAGTGTCATGCTAGGCTATACAAGCGATGTGGCTTTTCCATGAAAATGCAAAAATTGAATAATTGTTCTCAGAATCCAGATTAAGACTGGGTTCCCACAGATTTAGATTGATCCATCTGGATCAACCTAACTCCCTGGGGGTTCACGCTAAATTGCTGTCAGCTTCCGGGAGCCGAGCGCACACAAAAGTTAATTACCCCCTTACAGCTTTTAGTAGGCGGAAGAGACATTCAAGCTGGTTAGCTGACAGCAATCTAGTGAGACTCCCCAGGGGGACATATCCATCTAAATATCTGTGGGAATGCAGTCTAAGTTTCAGATTATTGAATGATGATGCCTAAATCCCTCAAATCCATTGTCAGGGGGGATTTAGGCCGTCTTCTGGGTCTTCTGGAAGACGGTCAGATTTTCAAGTTTACATAAATGGGTACCTAATTTTTTCTGATGGAAGACGGTCAAAAATGGAGGACGAAACAATAAAGATAATTCGGAAGCCTGTCAGAAAATATATCTGGATCTGCCCCTGTCATCTAAAACTTACGCTAAAAGGGTCCGTAAATTAAACTCTTTGGTTACCTTGGGTTAAAGGAGGTGACGTAACAGTGGCCACACTCTGCCCAGTTGAATTGTCCACAATGGTCAATGCGGCCTGTGGGGTTCCAGCACGGAAGGATGTCACGCTGACATTGTATGTCATACCAGCACGAAACACCTGCGGTGCTAACACTAGATAGCTGCAACATGGAGACAAGATGGTTAATTCTAGCCTCCTGCCACAAATTACAGTGTGATCATATATCAGTGTTTTATAATCTGAAGTCACACCCTTCTTTCTCAACTAACGCCAATTAGCCAAAGGTGAAAAATAATGACTGTGACAGTACTAGTAATTAATTTTACTGTATAATATCTATCAGGATCTATTATAATATGACTGAAGACAAAATAACAGTTAGGACACATTAAAAAAAATAGCTAAATACAGGAAAATATATTTTTGTCCAATTAGGCAATATAAAAATGGACCAGGTCTTCATCAAACATTTTTCTCAACAAGAAAAGTTTTCAAAACATTCCATATCACTACATAATTATTCAAACCAAATTATCTTTATTTCAATAAAAATGACATCTAAAACAATAGGCTTTAAATTAAAATATTGACAAAAATAACTTACGCAGGGGTTTCAGCTGCTGAGCCATGCCAGCAAGCTAGCACTGCCAAAGCAGTTAAACGGGCAACCAGCCACATTATCGGAATTAGCTCCTACTGCAAGTAGTTCAGCTGGCTTTTTCTCACAACAGAAGACCACAGTTTTCCAAACGCGCTACCCAAAGTTCTCTTTCTAGTGTAATATCTGAAATAAAGCAGAAATACCATTTATTATGTGATTATATTTAGTAATGTGAAAATACATCCAAATGTATTACATTGCAATATATGATGAATTATATAACACATACACTGGATTCAACTCGGCAAAACTCTTCTATCCTCAAGGACTGACAACCCCTGGATTGCACAGAGATTATGACGCACAGATGTACCGTGTCGTATTATATAGCTGCAAGGAAGACCTTTGGAAAACAAATTGTTTGCACAATGCCTCTATGTCATGGAAATAAATCAACATGATCATATACCACATTTTATCTTTTCATAACATGATCATACTGGCCCTGAATCACCCTTTGGTTTTCATGTCCTAGCCTGACTTCTAAAGGTAAAACCATGCCTGTTCTAAATCACAAAAAGGAATGAATATTGGAAAACATCGTGAAATACAAAACTGTATCTACGCCCACACTCCAGCACTAGTTTTCTAGTAAAGACGTGGGTTTAAACAAAAAATAAAATGTTTTAAATCTATAACTGGATTTACAATTTTGTCTCTTTGAAGACATTGCGTCTCCCTCTTTCACACCTCAGCCAGTCTATCGAGAATACAAATGAACTTTTCTAAGTCTTGTTATGTAAACTTTGGTTTAAACTTAAACATCCGTGGCATCAGATACAGAACAGGGTTTACCTTTTAATGACTGACAGTCTACAAATTATAGTCTCCCATTAGAAACAGTCCAACATGAGTCCACAGACTCAACAGTTTTAAAATCACAGTCGCTTCCTGTGATGATAGATACATGTAACGTAGCTTAATTATATATATTACAGTAGTCACAATTTTTTCTTAGGACCCTTGTGAAATATTTCATACAGGAAATGTTTCATGTGTGAGGTAATAGGTGAGGAAATAGAATGCCTACACAAAATTCTAAAACTTGTACACATTGAGAAGTTATTTTTGCATCCAGACTACCAATGGTGTAAATTTTTAAAAACCCACATCTACATATATATGACTGCTTATTTTCTTATAAACCCTTTTTTTTGGCCAAAGGAAAAAAAATGGATAAGAGAGGAAAATGTCCATGCAACAATAATTACATAATATCTTAAATGAAAATACTAAATTATACATCAAAATCACCCACAAGCAACATATTATCTGTCTATTAGCAATTAGATATCATGTCATTACTAGCTTTTTTCTCTAGTGATCAACTGTTTAGTATAAAAGACATAGCATACTAGTACATAGTCTTCCTCATATATCTTATTCAGACTAATCTTTGTATGGCTACCAAAATCTCCACTTTCATTTGAAATGTTTTAATGTTTCCATGTTCTTGGCATATAACTTGATGCACAAGTACAATGCTTACTAGTACCATGCCAAGGTATCATATTACCTAGGAACACGATAATTAAATGAAACATCGATCTGCACTGTACTAAATGTAAATGTCATGTCAGGCAATTGTTTTAGAGATGAATAAATATTTTTGATTTCAGTATTGCGTCTTTCAAGGTTACCTTCTCTTTTTGGGAAAGATAATTTAAAAGTTAATTTAAACATTTGGTGAATAGTGATTATAACAAATCAACAAATGTCTCTAGCTGTCGTGCATCATAAACAAAATCATATCATACACTTAACTAAATACACATACTATTACTAGTCCAACATTTTTTCAACCTGAATTAATTACTAGTAAGCCTCCCAACCTTCAATCACTGGACTCAGAACTGAAAATTACTGACAATGTTAATAACAGTGGATGTGCTAATTTGGACATTGTGACATACTATTTGACTTTCACAGGGACAACCAAGGCCTGAAATATCTAGTCTCCACTTTTCTCCAATACTGCCAAATGACAAAAATTTAATGTCTTCTCTTCAACAAGAACGTATAATTACGTAGCACACAGGGCTTCAAGTATGGCTAAATCGTGTCTTAAGAAAGAAGATAATTGGTCTGTTGATGTCAATAACAACTTCATTAAAATAGCCAGCTGTAACTGGAGACTACGTTTACAAAACAATATGACATCAGAAACTATATTTATAAATAACCATGCGTGCATAAAAATGATGAATTCGTGACTGGCAGTAAGATGTTTCAAGACAGGCTTTTCCTGATATTTGTTACTCTAAATGTTGCTTGCAGTAAACTGCAGCTCGTCTCTAACTGTACATTTGTCAGGCCCGTAGCCAGCAATTTCAGAAGGGGGGTTTGTTTTCTGAAAAAAATGGACCTTTTACCATAAAATCCTCAAGTACATAAGTCAAATTTTACCCAGAGTGGACCGTTTCCCAGCAAAAAGGGTGGTTCTTTCTAACCCCCCGAACCCCCCTGGCTATGGGCCTGTTTGTAAAACTTGGGGTAGTGCTAACACTCGCCAATTTAGCCAAATGCTAAAACTGACTTAAACTGGCTAAAGAAAAAACAAAAGGTAATTTGTTTTCGCCCCTGACGAGGCCTCAGGGCCGAAACGGCCGTAGGGCTTTTTTTAAATAAAATGGAGAGAGGAAGCTAAGTTATTCACATCCTTGATTATACCAGCTCCCCACGGGCCGCCGCCATGGGTGGAGCACTTTTTCACGGTGAACTGACTTAATTCTTCGATATATATATATATATATATATATATATATATATATATATATATATATATATATATATATATTACTGTGTAAACTTGTGGATTATCGCAACCTACCTTCCAATAAAATTGAACTCTTCAAGTATTGTTGTGTAAATTTATACACGCAGTCCAAATTTATGATTGTGAAGTGTTTTCTCAAGCTAGTATTGTGATATTTGAAAAGAAGGTAAATATCTAAACCTGGGTCTCCAGCTAGTTATTGATTTGACCCAATATTCTTATTTGGATGAGACCAGTTTTGAATAAAAAAAGAAAAAGGAAAAAAATCACCACCATCCAATACCAGTCACTGTTTATCGAATACACATCCCCCCTTATTGACAAACCCATTGTGTTCGCTGGGTTTTATTTTTTGGGGACATGTTTCTTTCTCCAATGCTTATTTTTACACACAAGCATTGTCAATTGTCACAGGTTTACAAAAAGAGGAAGGAAAACCATTAGCGCAAGGTAGTACCAGGCCACATGGTCTAGTTTTCAACCTATTGACACATCTTTTGGCAAAAAAAGTTAAACTTATGGTGCAACTTCATACATATATATTCACACACACACACACACACACACACACACACATACACAACAGCCTCCTTCCCTAGGCTAATAAAAAATATATACTAGTATTTATTTTTTCTAAAATATTAAAAATTTTGAATGGAATAACTAGCAAAAAAAAAACTCCATAATATACTCTTCTGCTGAAAAACAGTGCTGAATATTACAGTTACTGTAATAAGTATCATAACTAAGCAATCCTGTATGGTCAGAGAACTTATAGTGGGATTAAACCCCTAAAAAGGGATACATGCAGAAACCTTTTTTTATTTTTACTTTTTCAGACTATTATTAATATGTATTATTATAATAACATTGACTCTGAAAATGCGTAATTTACAATGTTTGAATTATTTTTTCATTATAATGAGTCATGTGCCATCAAACTAAAAGGTGCATTTTTATCCTAATGATATCTAATTTTCAACCACTTTCAGAGTGGCTAACAGAACTGATTCAGAAGGACACTCCACCTGTAATGACCCTAGACATGCAAGGTGACCACTGTCCGAGCTTAAAAACAACCTACTAGTATTCATCTTAAGTGACTCTTTTGTACCTGACTCAACTGACAATGAAACTGTTGCCTGATACATCTAAAAGCAAACATGCCTCTGACATGTAAAATCTGTAATGAAATGTGAAATCTACTAGAAATGGCCAGTTGATGTAATGAACACCTAAGGCACATGTAATAACAGCATACTGTGACGTATACTTACTACTATATAGTAAGTTGTAGTGCATGATACCACGAGCATTTACCTCTTTAATGGATGGTAAAAAGAACCCACTGGAGTCAGGGAATAACACATAACCCTATGGGAAAGGAGGAATATGAATTTCACCATGATGTCATATGGCAAAAACCAATGACAACTCCAATCATGACAAATATAAATTCTAACATATCAAAATTATATATATATATATATATATATATATATATATATATATATATATATATATATATATATATATATGAGTTTAATTACTAGTTACTGATTTTTTCCACTTCTCTACCCAAGTGCATAAAATCTGCAGCAGTAGTACGTACCCCCAGTACAAGTAGTATCTCAATCGATGTCTACATCTGCTACTGCTAATAAGCCTGCATGACCAACTGTTGCTGGAAATGATGTATAAATATCCTCCATATTAATTATAAGTAGTATAAGAGGTGGTTAGTCCAGTTACTAGGACACTACGTTTTAGGTACTGTAACATCTCTAGCGGCATTCTCCCACTGAATGCATGGATGCATGACGGTCAACATTTTGTGATAAAGGTCTTTAAGAACAATCCACTGGTATGGGCAGAATTTGAAGTATGTTTTTCTCAACTTTTTGCATTTAATCTATCTTGGCTAAATTCTGAATTAGTTTTCTCAAATACAATTTGATCAAATTCAATCACTGCCCTCAATTACAATTTTCATTCTGCTCAATCTACAGTAGGTCAACAAGATCTCTGAGCCCTATTTTTCACACACACACAAATTAATCAATCAATAAAATGAATAAATAAGTAATAATTAATATTGATATGCAGTTACATATTGGATCTTATGATAACGCTGCAAAGAGTCACCTATTGCCACTCGCCTGCCTATGCTGTTGACTTAAAGGGATAACAACTCTTCAAATGAGATCCACATTTCACAATAAATACCAGTACTAGTACATTGTTTAACAACTCATACGTAAATTCCATTTTACCACCAATACAGCAGCATATTGCAATTATTCTGGAATCTGTGCTTGCCCTCAGACCATATGACATCCATAGATGG